AAACAACTTCTGTTGCTAGTTTTAACTTACAAAATCTTAATACTTGTACATTGGTACGAATTTGGTTACAATGTATTTAACTGTAGGCATCTTCTTATGCATGTTCGCGCTTCTCAATCGAGAGCACAATTCCAAAAAACTACAATAGTGCGAACACAACTTTATTTGAAAAACGACATGATTCCTTGACAACAAAGTAATTTACTTGTAGAATTAAAGTATTAGAACAAAGTAACCCATCTACTACACTAGCTATTGCCCGCAACTCCGTGTTAGCGAAGTTAAAAAACGAATTAGTACAATGTGTTCCTCAAGACCTATGACAAATTTCAGTAAGATTCATGCTGGCGTTCTGGAGATACATTCTAAGAAATATCCATCCTTCAGTCCAGACATTTGAATTTATAATATTACTAAGAAAAAATGTTTTCTATAGTTTAAGTTAACTCCTATTTCATATTGTGACATCTTATCGTGTAAACATGTTTTATGTGTGTGTACACACATTGTTTGTATTGTAATTTCCCTTAATAAAAACGAAATAGCATCATGAAACATTAAAACTCGTATTACACTTTCTTACGTGTAACATGAGCGGAGAAAATTTTATTTATAAGGGTGTTTTGCCGTGTTTTATTACGTGAAAGGGCGAAAGCAATAAAAAAGGATCTAAATCACAGATTATATCTCTTTAATTGTTTCTTACCTTAGATATATTCGATAACACATAAAAGTAATCGGCACTATGTTTATTATGATTAAAAGAAAGCTTTATTACTTTTGTTATTGTTGTCTTTATAACGTTTAAAGCTTTGCCCAAGCTTTTAAGCTTGCAAAATAGCTTTATTATGCATCTATTTAATCAATTATTTTTTTTAAGTTTTGTCTTATGGCCATGATGTTGCTGGCCTTTTCATGAAGTGGCTAAAGCGGCCTTAAAATTGAATGTCTTCAATAACTTTAAATATTTATAGACGCACGAAAATTCAATCATTATATGTTTATCTAACTAGAATCATAAATGCGATAGTTTAGATGGATGGATGGATGTTTATTTGAAGGTATCTTCGGAACGACTAAACAGATTTTGATGTAATTTGGCACACATGTAGAGCATAGTCTGGAAGATTACATAGGCTGCTTCTTTATTTTTATTTCTGTACGGGACAGAGTCGCGGGCGATAGCTAGTGTGATCTAAAAACAAAATAATTAATAATGTAAAGAGCAATACTCGTAGTTAAAACAAAATTAATATTTGAAATGATATCCATCAACGCACGCAGTGGGCCAGAAATATATTTAAAAGGATTTATTAGATATAAGTTGCATTATAAACCCTATTCCACTCATTCAACGAAATTCTTGAACTGTAAGTTAACGAAGGGCAACCGCAAATGTTGGTTACCACTATTCATATTCAATGAGCTTTTAATGAATAACTCAAAATAAATAAGTTTAATATTAGGGATTGAACGGGGATTAGGTCAGCGGAGGAACTGTTCGCCTTTCACTTGACAGAACCAAGTATTCCAAGTTAACGGCCAACCTTCAAGACTGAAGAGGCACTAGAAGAAGAAGAACTAAGTATAAACATATTAAATTAGATTATGAATAAAATTCCTCATCACTATATCTACTTTTATGATAATAGTATTGATAAAAAAATCTAAGTGAACGACAGTGAATCATATGAAACTCTTTAAGTCTTTGAATTTTTATGTTATTATATTTTTGTATTTTAAACTAGCTGTCGCCCGCGACTCCATCCGCTTTGTCATATATAAAAAAAACTTAATATATAGATAAGTTAAATAAAAAGCAGCTCTTCGAGGCATAAATTCGAAAAAAAGAATAAATAGTATCCTATGTCCGTCTCCTGGCTCTAAGCTAACTCATCACCGATTTTCAGCCATATCGGTAAAGCCGTTCTTGAGTTATAAAGAGTGTAACTAACAAGACTTTCTTTTATATATATATATATTTCTCTTAAATAAATACGTATAATCGAGGAAGTTTATTTGGAATCCATTACAATTATAGTGTTACAGTGAACTTGGTTGTTTATTTGATCCTAAGTGGGAAGGAAATTTAATTCTTTCACAATACCTAGCCTGTTTAAATAACGTTATAGTTAACAGACGGAACTTAAATTACCCGCATAAGCTTTGCCGTTCATTTGAATCATATTCTTTCAGTAAGATAAAATTATTCCTGGCCCTTAATAATAAAGCTTCAAGTTATAAAGAACAATATCTAACTTTAGCTTTTGTCTTTACCCAGAAAAATGGTTAGGAATATTCTATCAGGTGTTCATTTTTTGTAACTGTTTTTAGCATAAACTGCTTAAGCTTTTTTTAATGTAATGTGTCGTTTGATTTTAATTACTTCCCGTTTTATAAGGATAACAGTAACAGTGGTAGACGCTAGCAACAACATATATTGCACGAATGTGCCGGCTCGACCGCTACAATACTTTTTTTTTTTTTTTTAAGAGGGGGAATGCGTTACGCATACCGGGTGCCTCGGGGAAAGCCACTCCGGTTATGTGGGACTCTCTCCACATCCCTAAAGGGACAAGGAGCCTACCCACTAAACCCCCTCTGGTTCCCTCGTCTCACTGTTTACCGGGGTGTGGGCACATGTGAAATACTCTTCGCACACACCGGTCGGTGACTGGTTTTGAGCCTCCACACAACCGCTACAATACTACCACCACACAGAAGACGTTGGGGAAACAGAAGACGACGTAGAGCACGCGAAAGTAGATTTGTCGGAGGAGGGAACGCATAGGAAAGGAGAAATGTGTTCTCTCTGTGAGTCCTATTCTCCCTCGATTAAATGTAGGCAACGCATCTGAAATTGTAGCTGATAAAAAAAATAATCCAGCTTTTTTGATATCTAATTTTTGTGACTAAAACCATAACCCTGCCGTCAGTAAAGCAAAAATTCTTTAGCCCCTCCATCTGGAACGTAAATCATAAAAATAATAAAGGTATCAATATCTCAGTCAGAAGCTTTTAAGACGTTTCGCAATAAATTCTTAAGGTGGGTCTACACTAGACGAGCCGAGCACGAGCGGGGCACGAGCCGAACCAAAGTTTGTATAGTGTAGACGAACGAGCACGCTTCGTGCACGGCTCATATGGTAGTATTCTGAGAAATACAAAGAGATTTGGCGGTAAACATACAGCGGAAAACTATGTTTGAGGTGAGAGCCTGTTGTAAGCTCACACTTGACACTGCAAGCAGAGCGGCTCGGCTCCTCTAACATAGACCGACCTTTATATTTATAGGTAGAGAGACAAAAGTGGCACTGAAATCGTAAAGTTTTAATCTTAGCGATGGATTTCTTAGAGTCCATAAAACTGCTGCCAGTCACTATTGTCTTGTATAATGAATATAAAATTTAGATAAATCGTATTGTAGCATAATAAGGTCGCTCATTTGTCGAAATTAAACCATAAATCATAATCAAAGATTTTTTGATTAAAAATAGCTTCATGTATTTCTTCGCCGCAAAATCTTTCAAGTCTATCCGTTCCAACAATTTACAAAAAACTACAAAGCTTTCGCTTTACGTATCAATAAAATAATGTCTATAATAACCGTAATTGATATTATTAAATATATAATTTACATTAAGTGGGCGTCCATAAATTACCTGAGGTGTTTAAGGGGGGAAGGGGATCGAAGCAAATCTTATCTAATCTTATGTTGAAGAGGGGGTCTCAGCAAATATCAAGCAATTTTTTTTCTGATTGAAGCAAAAAAAAGCAAAAGCACCAAGCATTTTTTCTTTGTATAATAGCAATCCAACGCGTTTACGTAAGAAAGTTTTGAAAAATCTCATGTGAGATTGGGGGTTGGGAAAGGGGATTGAATAAAATCTCACGACATCTCACCAGAGGGGGAGGGAGGGGCAGAAAATTAAAAAAAACACCTCACGTAATTTATAGATGCCGCCTAATTTAACATAGTATTTAGAAACACATTGGGTATATTTAAATTTTCAATATGTATGAGATGATAAAATATTTGAAAATTAAATTGCTACTAAATTAGGTTTATAATTAATTATTTATGCTGTTTAATATTCTAACACACTAATTTTAATTTTAATTAATGTAATTTTAAACATCTAGGTCTAACAATCGAGTAGGTAGACAACTAATAATTGTTTTTGCGAACATTTTATATTCTAGCGTATTATTTAGTTTATTGACATTTTTTATTAAATATCCTGTGAAAATATAAGATTTTAAGTATAAATCGCTTACTCATTATAATTCTGTACTTGAATATGAAGTATAAAATCGTGTCAGAAAGAATTCACGTTTCATAACTTCTCGAATAATCGGTCATTAAACGCGACTCTAAAAACTTCAGATGAAATCGCTTATTCCAACTGTTAGTCGTTTTCTGCATTGAATGATGTCATTTAAAAGTTTTATATCACACTAGCGGCCACCCGCGACTCCGTCCGCGCGGAATAAAAATAAAAAGACAATTAGTAGCGTATGCGTCCTTCCATACGTATGCCAAGTTTCATCGAGATCCGTTCAGCCCTTCAGGAGTTATCTTCAGACAAACATCCATCCATCTAAACATTCGCGTTTTATAATATTAGTTAGAGAAGACCGCGTTACATGTCATCCAATATTAATGTTATATTATCAAATTGACACTATATTTTCTAATATATAGATGTTATAGTACTTTAACATAAAAAGCGTAGAGGCATTCCATTTATGATTTCCTAAACAATTTTCTACAATATTTTTATCCTCTACTAACAAGCGCGAAAATGTTTACTATCAAAGTCATTTGGAAAACTTCACACACAATGTTATATTTCGTACATAAAGACACATCGATTGAAGCTTATACTAAAGAAGATTAAAGAAATTAATAAAAATACATATGGAGAAAATTTAAATATAATCTTTGACCATGACGTAGGAACGAAAAGATTGATTGCATGAAAAGTGATATAATTTAGAAGAGGATTAGGACAAGGAGATGATGTTTTTATAGCAAATGTTACTTAAATCAAGTATTTTTTATGATAGCATCGACTTCTTTATCTTAACACAGAACAACAGAAGATTGAAGATTTTTTTTCATAACAGGAGGGGAAAACGAGCAGCGGGTACACCGAGTTGTCCTACGACGACCATGGACATCAGCAATACCAGAGGAACCGCAGATGTGTTGCCGGCCTTTGAGATGGTGATACGCTCGGTTCTTGAAGGATTGTTTTAATCTAATGAGAATGAGATTTCTTAATAGATTAATGAAAATACTAGTCGTTAACAGGATTCATATCAACCACGTTTGAAGTAAACTGGAACCTTCATATATCATAGACAGAAATCTTCAGTTCTTTCCACAATTCCATAATCTTCTTTTATTAAATCAGAGCCACGCTCACCAATCATAATCGTTGGTCCGTTAGTATTGCAACTTGTGATATTGGGCATTATACTGGCGTCAATAACACGCAATCCTTTGACATGGTGTACCCGCAGACGGCTATCTACAACTGCTGAACTTGAATCAGGACCCATCGCACATGTTCCCACAGGGTGATAAATTGTAACTGTAACTTCTGGAGATATACATTTCCAATAGTCGTAACTATTTAGTTTGTATTCATTGCATTTTGGCCAATTATATCTACCAAGAAATGCATTAATACTTTTAAAATAATCAGTGTCAATGATAGCAGTCAGCATCCGAATTCCCTCTACGGTAGCTTCAATATCTCTTTCGTCATCTAAATAATTTGCGTATATCAACGGATGATTGAATGGATTACTCGTATTTAAATATATATTTCCATATGAACGTGGCTGTAGCAGGTTAAAACGAAAAATAAAGGAATCATACTTTTCAGTCAGTTCGCAGAAACTTTGGTTTATTGGTTCTTTAAATATGGAAAATATACTTCTTGCATATGACGAATTTTTATCAGCTATATCCAAATGCACTTGGAATTCTGGATATGTAGCGTTTTTGTTTCTGGAATAAAATGCTATAACATGAGGAGCACTGGAGTGCGCTAAATAGCCTGTACGATTATAAGTATAACGCGCAACATCCAAATATTTATCAATATAGTTTTCAGAGCGAGGCTTCCTGCCAAATACTGGAACATTAATGATAATGTGATCCTGTAAATTTTTACCTACTCCTGGTAAATCCACTTTACAATCGATATTTTTTGATTCCAAATGTTTTTTCTCTCCTATTCCTGACAGCATTAATAATTGTGGTGAATTGATAGATCCTGCACTTATAATAACTTCATTTGAAGCAAATACTTTAATTTCTTCACCTTTGTATTTGACTACTACTCCGTAGGCTTTAGACTTATCATCTAGTAGTATTTTTACAACAAAAGCATTCTTCATTATCTTAAAATTTTCTCTGTGTTGTATTTGACTTAAATACGTTGTAGCTGTGCTAGCTCTTCTTCCATTATAAGCAGTATCTCTAGATAGTCCTGCTCCAAGAAGATTAGCCAACTGTAAATCTTCTTGAATTTGTAAGCCAATTTGATTGAACGAATTGAAAACATTTTCAAATACTTTTTCGTCTGTCCAATTAAATGTGTTAATAACTTGAGGTCCATTCAATCCATAGAGGTCTCTTATTTGAGGATTTTGTAACAAATTTTGATCTTGGAGACTTTCTAATTTTTTAAAGTATTTAAAAACAATATCTGGACACCATTCCTTGTTACCGAGATCGAACCATTTCTTGAAATCATTAGCAACACCTCTAAAATATATCATACTATTAATTCCACTTGATCCACCGAGCATTTTTCCGCGAGGCCAATTTACACTTTCTCCGACATTTGCACAATTTCTTTTTCCTGTTGGAGTAGTCTTGTATTGCCAATCGGAGTCAGTCCCAAATAAATGTTGGTCATAATGAGGCACCTGAAAAGAAAAGTAGCATATTTGGAAATAGATTAGAACCCATGCCAATATATAATATTCACATAAAATTGACTAAAATCCAAGGTCAAGCTGGTAAAATAGAACTAATGTAGCTTTTAAGTAAGGCACATTCAAACTACCATCCTTAAGATTATTCTTGACTTCATCGATAATAATTTGAAAGACACATTAAAACATGTTCAGCACAGTTGTAATAATGTTCTAATTTAATATTTGACTATTATCTTTAAGCTACTTTAAATAATTCGTTAATACTAACGTAAGATTCTATTGGTGGGTCACCACCAGCTTCTATTAATAATACTTTCCACTTCTTAACTTCACTTAGGCGATTAGCCACAACACATCCGGCTGATCCTGCCCCGACAATTATAAAATTAAATGTATCACCATCTGAAATAAATAAATTATTGCAGTTAACCTTATGTTAGATTACATTTTGTTAATCGTTGTCTAAAAATCAACACCCTTCAAATTCAATCAAGATTGTATTAACATCAATGGCAGGACTTTGTAATCTTGCATATTTTAAAACTTAATGTAACTGTTTCTACCATTTATAACTAAAAAATAATATAACATCAAAAATGTATTTTTCACCCTTGATGTCTACACTCGGCTCCCACTTGTCAGAAACTAAACAGGTGGATGCGACCATAAAATGAAAAGTCGAAAGGAGATCTTGGAATATATCACTAGTAGTTGGCTTCGTACAGCTATCCTTAAGATGATTTGGAAAATTACTATCTACATTCATCCTGAAATTATTAGTAAATCCATAATTTTAGATAAACGCTTCTAAAATCTCTGAAGATATTAGAAGCATCAATTTACAAAAAGGACAACAACAAGCAGTGACCGTAAAATGAGATCAATTAAGTTATAAGTTAATATCATTTTAAGCAAAATAAGTTAATTAGATTTATTTTTAATACCCCATCATCTTCAAATAATTTATAAACAACACTTTACGATTAACATTTACTTGCTACACTCCTTGCTAACTCATGTTTGAAATATAATATATAAGTAGGTGCGAAACTTGTTTCATTACTAATGACTAGTAGATAAGAGGACTAAAGTATTCTCAGATAAATATTATACTAAATATATAATTTATTTACATATTTACCTACATTTATTTAGGGAGTAATTGAGTAGAGGATCACTGACTTAGCGAACAAGTTATTAAAGTTATAAATCAGTCCGTATTTAAGTTTTTATTAGATAAACTAAAAATAAGAACAAAATTTGTATTCATATTTTTAATAAATAATATTTCAGTCTGTTTAAATGACCCAAACCAACTAATGTAATATTAGTCTCAAAATGATAACTCCGAGTAACCTCGCTAACATTTACGTTTATTTTGTTAATGAGCCACAAATTCTTAATGTCCTTTTTTATTCATATCTTTAATCCCATAATCTTCTTTTATCAAGTCTGAACCTCGCTCACCAATCATGATCGTTGGTCCATTAGTATTGCAACCTGTAATATTGGGCATTATACTGGCGTCGATAACCCGCAATCCTTTGACATGGTGTACCCGCAGACGGCTGTCCACGACTGCTGAACTTGGATCAGGACCCATCGAACATGTTCCCACAGGGTGGTAAATTGTAGTCACGATCTGTGGAGCTATACATCTCCAGTAGTCGTAACTATTTAGTTTATATTTATTGCATTTTGGCCAATTATATCTACCAAGAAATGCATTCATACTTTTAAAATAATCGGTTTTAACGATACGTGTCAGCATTCGGATACCTTCTACAGTAGCTTCAAGGTCTCTTTCATCATCTAAATAATTGGCATATATCAACGGATGATCGTATGGATTACTCGTATTTAAATATATATTCCCACGAGAATATGGATGCAGTAGATTAAATTGATAAACAATAGAGTCATGCTTTTCAATTATCTTTACAAATTTTTCATATATTGGTTCTTTAAACATCGAAAAAAAATTTTTGGCGTCGGTTGAATTTTTATACCAAAAATCCAAATGAACTTCGAATTCTGGATATGTTGCGTTTCTATTTCTCGAATAAAATGCTAGTGTATGAGGAAAACCGGATTGTGCTAATAACCCGGTTCTATTATAAGAGTAAAGCGGAAAACTTATAAGTTTTTCAATTTCACTTTGAGAATAAGGCATAGTTCCGAAAATTGGTACATTTATGGTTAGGTGATCTTGTAAATTTTTACCTACTCCTGGTAAATCCACTTTACAATCGATATTTTTTGATTCCAAATGATTTTTCTCTCCAATTCCTGACAGCATTAATAATTGTGGTGAATTGATAGAGCCTGCACTAATGATAACTTCATTTGAAGCATATACTTTAATTTCTTCGCCTTTGTATTTAACTACTACTCCGTAGACTTTAGAGTTATCATCTAGTAGTATTTTTACAACAAAAGCATTCTTCATTATCTTAAAATTTTCTCTGTGTTGTATTTGACTTAAATACGTTGTAGCTGTGCTTGCTCTTCTTCCATTATAAGCAGTATCTCTAGATAATCCTGCTCCAAGAAGATTAGCCAACTGTAAGTCTTCGTGAATTTCTAAACCTATCTGGTTGTATGATTCTAGAAGATTTTTTACTTGTTCTTGGTCCGTTCTATTAAATGTATTTAAAACCTGTGGTCCATCCAATCCGTATAGATCTCTTATTTTTGGATTTCGTAATAACTTTTGATCTTGTAGACTTTCTAATTTTTTATAATATTTGAAAACAATATCTGGACACCATTCCTTGTTTCCGAGATCGAACCATTGTTTAAAATCATTAGCGACACCTCTAAAGTACACCATGCCATTAATTCCACTTGATCCACCGAGCATTTTTCCGCGAGGCCACTTCACACTTTCTCCGACATTTGCACAATTAGTTTTTCCTGTTGGAACAGTCTTGTATTGCCAGTCGGAGTAAGTTCCAAATAGCCTTTGGTCATACGGTGGTATCTAAAAAAATATTATACATAAATTTTTAATCTTGATGTCTAATTGCCGTTACATATCCATTGGTTTTAAACAAGGTAAATACTAACGTAAGATTCTAGAGGTGGATCACCGCCCGCTTCTATCAATAAGACTTTCCAAGATTTGACTTCACTTAGGCGATTAGCCAGAACACACCCGGCTGATCCTGCGCCGACAATTATGAAATTGAATGTATCACCATCTGAAAGAAAAAATTATTTATATTCGCCTCATCTTAATCAAAATTTGTACAACGCACAGCCACCTTAAATCAAATTAAGACAACCCTTTTTGAACTAATACTAGTCTCGTTATTCGTATTCAAATCCGGAACAGTAAAGTATTCGTACACAAGGCAACGGAAATCTTTGAAACTAATATATATCCTCCTACATGTCTAACAGCCAACTCCTCATTAAAATTGTTAAATCTTACTAATATTAGAAATGGGAAAGTTGAGGTGGATGGATTGATGGATATATGTTTGTTTAATACGATCTTTGGAACCGCCCAACAGATTTTGATGAAATTTAGCACACATGTAGAACATAGTCTTGTATAACATGAGCTACTAATTAAGTTATTTTTAATACCGCGCGGACGGTGTCACGGGCGACAACTAGTATAGCATAAATTTTATACCTTTGATGTCTGCACTCGGCTCCCACTTGTCTGTAATAAGACAAGTTGACGTGACTAACAATTGGAAAGTGGAAATGATGTCTTGAAAGACATCACCAGTATTTGGCTTGGGGCAGCTGTCCTTGAGATAATTCGGTAGACAGTTATTTTCCAGATAATTCCTGCAATAATTATTTAATTCTGAAAATGATCTTGCCAACCGCAATTATTAAAGGTACATTAAATAATACCACAGAACAAATAATAAGGTAGAAAATGGAAATTAAAATTGTAAATATGACAAATTTAAATGTGCAATATTAAATTTTCAATTAAATATACACAATACTTTAAACATTATATACACGAAAATAATAATATTTTTTTTACCCCAACATTTTCCATCAAATTAATCGTCTATAATAATTAAGAAAGGAATAAACTGACTGACTCGACAAACAAAACAACTGGATCTAAAGATCTAACACTTTGTGGTTAACTTTATATTTATATGCACATAAGTTTTTTAAAATAAATACAGATAAGGAAATATACAAACCCTATTATTTTGATGATTACATTAATTTAACTGTCTGTCTGTTTTTATAACGAAGAACTCCAGTGTGGTGAAAATTGTATTAATATTAATATTGTCATCCCTTTCATTCTGCTTTACAAAAATGAGACAACAATATGTTTACAATAACTGTAGCGACAGTCGATAAACATCACATTTAATCTCTCTTTAAAAAATAGAATACTTATTTGAATTTTACTAAGGAGTTTCAGTGAGCTGGTTGAATACTACTTTGTGATATTGAGCTGGTTGAATACAATTTGACAATTGTAATGTATGGACACACGGATCAGTGCCTCAAATTCTTTGTTCCTAAGTTCTATCAGCTTCTGTCTGCCAACTAAAGGACATAGACCTTGCAAAATTAAAAAGTTAAAATTACCATATGCGACATACATAGGCAGAATTAGCGGAACACAAAAAATAATTATTTTTTCGTAAAACTGGTCGATTATCTTTTGTATTTTAGTTCTAATTTGAAAATGGAAGATTAATCGGCAGTCGATTTTTTCGATTGTTTATTTAAATTTTTCATTCATACAACTCTATCAACTGTGCAAATATAACTAACTATTGTATATTCTCCTTTATGTTCCACTATTTCTATCGGCCTATGTATTATTATCGACGAATATGATTTTTATTAAGATTTTTAGCCTCTTAAAAATAAACAGGCAAATGTGTTTATTTTTAAATTAACATTTAATAGGATCTGTTGTAAAAAAAACTTGTTACTTCCTTGTTGTTAGCCCTTCTCCTCTGAAACATGTTTATAAAACCGACAATCAAAACCCACAAAGTTATTCGAATTATAGACATTTATATTTAAAATAAAATAACATTAACAATTAAATAAAGCATTAAAAAAATACTACAAACTAATTTTTTACAAAAAAAACGGAATAGAGGAAGAGCAAGAATAGCGTAAATGCAAGAAGAAAAAGAGAAAGTCGATGTTGTTTTGTTTCAAGAAATAAAGAAGAGCACAGGAAAGAGATTCTTGAGATTTGATCTACAGAAATGGACCTTAAATTATGTCAGTCGTTTTTTAATTCAGCTCTACAATGCCATAATCTTCTTTAATTAAATCAGAACCACGTTCAGCAATCATAATCGTTGGTCCGTTAGTATTACAACTTGTGATATTGGGCATTATACTGGCGTCAATAACACGCAATCCTTTGACATGGTGTACACGCAGACGGCTGTCTACAACTGATGCACTTGGATTAGGACCCATCGCACATGTTCCCACAGGGTGATAAACTGTAGTCACAATCTGTGGAGCTATACATCGCCAGTAATCCGCACTATTCGTTTTGTATGCATTGCATTCTGGCCAGTTGTATCTGCCAAGAAACGCGTTTATACTTCTAAAGAAATTCGTATTAACTATTTCTGATAATATTTGAACTCCTTCTACTGCAGCGTCAAGATCTCTTGTATCGTCGAAATAATTTGGGTATATTAAAGGATAGTCAACAGGTCTATTAGTATTTAGAGAAATATTTCCACGTGAATATGGATGTAACAAATTAAATTGGAAAATGTAAACGCTATGTTCTTCAATTAAATTAGCAAATGTTTGTGCAATCGGCTCTTTATATATAGAAAAGTAATTTTTAGCTTGTGTTGAATTTCTCGGAAATATTATCAAATGGCTTTGGTAATCTGGTATCAAAGCATTTTTGTCTTTAGCAAAAAACGCAAGTATATCTGCAATTCTAGCCTGAGCCCAAGAACCAGTCCGATTGTAAGCATACAGTGCAACATCTAAATATTTTTCATCTGTATTTTCGTAGCCAGGATAATTAGAAAAAACAGGTACGGTCAGTATCATATGATCTTGTAAATTTTTACCAACTGCTGGTAAATCTACTTTACATTGTATTCTTTTAGCTTCCAAATGGTTCTTCTCTCCAATACCGGACAACATTAACAGTTGTGGTGAATTGATAGTTCCAGCACTTAAAATTACTTCAAGTCTGGCAAATATTTTCATAATTTTACCTTTTTGTTTAAGTAAAACTCCATAAGCCCTTTGATTGTTGTCAATAAGAACTTTTAACACCAGAGTGTTTTTAATTAACTTAAAGTTCGTTCTATTTTGAATATAACTTAAATATGTGCTGGCTGTACTAGCCCTTCTTCCATTATATGCAGTGGCTCTAAATATCCCTGATCCTAGAAGCTGTGCTGTTTGCAAATCTTCTCGTATTTTAAATCCCATTTCATTATAAGAACTGAGAACATTTAGAGTTAGATTTCTGTACGTGCTATTAAAAGTATTGATGATTTGAGGTCCATGTAAACCATATGTATTTCTTATCAAAGGATTTTGCAACAACTTCTCATCTTGAAGACTTTGGGACTTTTTGAAAAACTTACGAAGAATGTCTGGACGCCACTCAGGATTACCAAGATTATGCCACTTTTCGTAATCATCAGGTAGGCCTTCAAAGTATATCATGCCATTAATACCGCTGCTACCTCCAAGCATCTTTCCCCTGGGCCAGTGCACTATTTCCCCGACATTTGCTTGGTTGATTCTTCCGGTCGGCGCCGTCTTGTAGTTCCAATCGTATTGAGTCTTTCGTAAAGTTTGATCGAATTGTGGTATCTAAAAGTAATAATTCATGAAAGCATTTTTCGAAGCAAGTGTTTTACGAAAAATACTTAGGGTCATTCAAGAAGCGAAGGTATCACCATCTCAAAGGCCGAAAACGCATCTGCGATTCCTATGGTATTGCAGATATCCGAGGGCATCGATGAACACCTTGGTGTTTCCGCTGCTCGTTTGCTCCCTTCTCTTATAAAAAAAAATACTTTCAATAGGATTACCTATAATTAGCTGATAAACAACTAAGTGATCAGTGTAACTTTAGTTTTATATAACCAGAGAAACTATGCGCTGTCATTTTTTTAAAGAAACCCCAAAAACTACATTATTCTTCAAACTTACATAAGATTCAATAGGCGGATCACCACCAGCTTCTATCAGTAATACTCTCCATTGTGTGATTTCAGTTAACCGATTGGCCAATACACAGCCAGCAGAACCTGCTCCAACTACTATGAAATCGTATGTATCAAAACCTAAAACAAAAGAATGTAGTAAGGATGCGTAAGGGTTGATGCCAACTCGTCAATTCCTCGCGCACCCGGCACTAACCCAGCTCGCGATCGCCGTGGCATCCACTCGTCGTCGCCCCGACGTCGCCGATGGATCGGGATAACGATTGGCTAAAGGTTATGTTATTCTTTAACGAGTAGAGGGCGCGCGATGGCGAGGGAATGGTGATTATGAGACGGTGAACCAGGTGTACAGCAATGCGCCTTCATCTTAATAATCTTGTGGCTACAATTGTACGGACATACCCAGAAAATATTACTATCCTACCAGAACTATAGCATATAAATCAACTGTATAAATTAAGTCGTATAATCCGACAAATTTAAAAATCGTCCGCTTATTCATATATTTATTATCGAGTAACAAATAGTTAAAAAGTGCCGTTTTCGTTTCCGATAAAAGTAATGCGTTGATCGCATTTAAAATTACACCATTAGCATTTGTTAATTGTAACACCTTTATTCGTGTTAGACTGATTACAAAACGAAAGTTGTTTTTAATTTGGTTTTTTTTTTTGGAAATTCTTGTTCTTACTGGAAAGACCTACTTCCATACATAAATAAACTAAAAAAGTAAACAATTGTAACCCTAATTTTAATCGGTTTCCGAGATAGCTAAAATTTTATTTATTTACATATATATATTATGTGTTTTTAATGTGATAAATAATTAATATTAACCTTTGATATCTGCACTAGGCTGCCATTGGTCAGTTATAAGGCAAGTCGACGCCACCATAAAATGATAAGTTGAAAGGATATCTTGGAAGGCAGCACCAGTATTTGGTTTCATGCAGCTGTCCTTGAGAGTACAGCTAAAAATATAATCAAATAACTAGAACCTCTTTTGTAACCACCGTATAACGAATAAAAATAAATTGATCGTACTGGCCACTTTGACTGTACATTATAACGGGCGTAGATATAAAAAATAAAATAAAACAAATGCAATTAAAAAACACGAAAACACAATAGAAATTCACTTTAGAGGCACTGTCATTGTGTTACTGGTTAAATGGGCAAAGCATTTTTAAAGTTAAAAATGAACTCTGATAACAGACAAGGTAATGAGACACAAATATTTGTTTAACAGATAAACACATGCAGTAAGTCAAGATACCTAACATGCCTGCAATATTTTACTTTTCTATTATATTAAACATTTTGTCATTACACTTCATATTTGCTATTCTGTTTCCAAATTAACCTTGACTTTTGTAGAAAAATGTCATAAAATAATTAAAACAATAAAAGATTTATATTACTAATATTGTAAATGCGAATGTTTGGATGGATGGATTGATAGATGGATGGAACGTCTGTATGGATCTCGCTGAAATTTGGCATAGATGTAGAACACAGTCTGGGAGTACACATAGACTATTAATTAAGTTTTATTTCCATGCCACGCGGACGGAATCCCGGGCGCCAGCTAGTTTTAAGTAAAATTGAATTTAATAAACATGTTATTAATAATTTCCGATTTGAACGTTGACTTTTATCTGTGATACAACAAAAGTTATTGAAATCAATTTTAAAGGCTTTATAAAGCTTGAGAACTAAGCTGAATAAGTCTTATTCATACACGTTCAATACAAGATCACATAATGGATTGAGAAAATGAAATAACGTAATAGCTTTTTCATACTTTAATACCAGAGTTAGTAATTTTATCTTATAAAATATATATATATATATTATATAACAGAAAGTCGTGTTAGTTACACTATTTATAACTTAAGAACGGCTTTACCGATATGGCAAAAAATTGGTGAGGAGGTAGCTTACAGCCAGGAGACGGACATAGGATACTATTTATTCGTTTTTTTTCGAATTTATGCCTTGAAGAGTTGCTTTTTATTTAACTTACTAATACTATAAATGCGAATGTTTAGATGGATGTGATGTGGATGGATGGGTGGGCTACGCTAATTAAGTTTTTTTATATAATATATCCACGCGGATGGAGTCGCGGGCGACAGCTAGTTTTACCATAAAATCACAAGGTAATTTATAACGAAAATATACATAAGAAAAATATTAATAACATTTTGATACTTAATTATCGAATAATAACTCATCATCATCATCAGCTCACTATACGTCCCCACCGAGGGGCTCGGAGCCTACCCTAAGTTAAGGTTGATTAGGCCATAGTCAACCACGCTGGCCAAGTGCGGGTTGGTTGACTTCACATATATCTTTGAATTTCTTCTCCGATATGTGCACAACCTGCACATATCACGATGTTTTCCTTCACCGTAAGAATAATAACTAATTTATGACAATCATATTTTTATCTATTTTAATCTTATTTCTTAATATAATACATAGTTATTAATTGCTTAATTAGAACTTTTGGATGTATGTATGGATGTTCGATACTATCAGAACCTGCATTAATCTCGCGGAAATTTGGCATAGATGTAGAACATAGTCTGGAAGAATACTTAGGCTACTGCTTAACTTTTTTTTTAATTCTAAGCGGTCAGAGTCATGGGCAAATGTTAGTTGGCATTAAATCGTTATTTAGGCATGGTTTTACATAAATACTTTTTAAAATCTCTTAGATATTATAAAAAAATATGAGCAACATAAAATCATACTATAAACCAAGTCTTAAACAAGGTAAGCCTCATTTATCCCATCTTTATAGTACTAAAGTGAAAAAGATATTCACAACGGTTTTTAAAGAACATTTACATTTTAAAGGCGTGAATTTAAAACGCTATGAATGGAAGAATATTTAAATTTAACCGATTGTTCATACCAATGTGTTTTAATATTTTAGACTATTATAAATATATATACAGGGTGTAGAGTAGTTTTAGTATAATCGTACTAAAAATTTACTTATTTTTTTACTCGTATTTGTTTTATTAAATTATTATTCATGATTTATTCAATAATTTAATACTATTTGTTTTTAACCGACTAAAGAAGGATGTGTTTTTTTTGTTGCCTCGTAACTTCGCTCCTGTTTGTCCACTTTTCATAATTATTTTCTTGTTTGATTGGTACTGCGTGTCGTATGGTCACATTTATTAAAATCTGATAGTTCTTGAATAATTTTTAATAAACCGTATCAAAAAGTTGGTTGAAAATAGAACAATTTTGAATTATTTTTGTAACATTGGTTTGCTTCGATTTCTCTGTTTTAGAGTTGTTATAAGTCGGATATATGCTTTGGTTTCGACATTGGAAAATTATGAACATACCATATGCAAATTTTTACAACAAAAACCCGCATCTTTTATTGTAAGCCGGATACGAGACATTCAGTTTGTTAACAATTATGCAATTAAAAAAATAAGATACGAAACAAAAAAGTGATCTATTAGCTTTAATTCGCTTCCTATTTTTTTAATTTCCACATTTTTTCGTCAAAAATTTATCAAAATCTTTTTATCTTATAAAAAAAATTTTTTTTTTCTTCAATAGGTATTTTTTGTAGTACTAATATATTTTAGGATAGTTTCCTTCTGCCTTGTCCCACGAACGGTGTTCCATAGGATTCGAAGTATCGCCGCACTCTGCGGTCGCCGTGAGCGTGGGACCACACCGCCGCGTGGAGTTGCTCAATCAGTTCCAGAGTTGTCACACTGATAGGTACTTCATGTGTTAACCCAAAAAATGTACCTCTCTCTTCATCTAGGAAATCGCTTACCTAAGAATACATTTTGTAATATGGATACCAATAATTTTATAATAACATTTCAACAATTTAGAACTAAAATAAATCAATTATGTAATTTTCAAGAGAATAATTATAAGATCTTGTGTTTCTGACGTGAAAACAGACAAACAGATTGTACAATATATATAGTGGGAAACGCAAATTTAATAGATTTAATCTTTATAATAATTCTTCAAAAACTCAATTAAAAAAGGTTACTTACAACTCCATTAACTATAATACTGAAAATAAAAATAAAAAATGTCTTCCAAAAAATCATTCTCACAAATTACTGAGTTTTCTCATCTACATTTTATTTGGCAGTTGAAATAACAATAACATACTACGGAATTCTTAATCGCTTTTTTATTATATTTCATGAAACAATAACATTTTTATTGCAAATTCAATTCTACAAATAAATAAAACCCAAGTATTTGTTTATGGGAATACAAGAAAAAAAAACAAAAATGTATGCATTATTTATTTAAAATACTGAAACAATTTTGTTTAAACAAAATAAAAATTACCTCTTTCGTATTTATAATTGATAGTTGACCAAAGAATTTGTGTAAAAACTAAAGGCCTAGTTTGGACATTCAAAATATTTTCGACAAAATTTCTACAAAAATGCGTACAGCGCCCCTAACGGACATAAATCACACTACGAAATGTCATACAAATTTTGACATATTTTTCTATGACGTCACGAAGTCAAAAATATTTATACTAGGCCATCAGCTCATTAATCATTTCAATAAATAAAAAACCTTTTAAATTAAAAAAAAAACATTTTTGGAATAGCCAACTGGCAACTTATCAATCATATAATTTTATAAAAGTTTTTTTTTTAGAGTTAAATATTTTTTTTAATATTATACATATAATATTTAAGCCTTGACCGTTAGTAAAGTATTGGCATACTGGAATTCCGGACTGTTCTCATATTCAGACATATCTAGCGCCACCTCGCAACTCTCTCTAACAACACGTCTTGGATCATTTAGGAACCTGAAAACGAATTTACATTTATAATTATTAAATTTAAAAATAAAACATATTACGCGCACTTCATAAAACATGTTTAGGCACAGAAAACATCAAAACTTGCCACAACTAAATCTTACTAATATTATAAATGAGAATGTTTGGATGGGTGGATGGATGTTTGTTTGAAGGTATCTCCAGAACGGCTGAAATTTTTTAATTACGCGCGGATGGAGTCGCAGGCGACAGCTATTGTTCAAATAAATTACAAATAAACATGTGACCATTAGAAAATTTATGGAAATGAAGTTTTTGCTAACAAATTTTTTAGTTACTTTTCAGCCTCATAGAGGCGCTGTACAAGTCCATTGGCAATCTTCAAAAAATTGTTTTAGAAAAAACAACATATTTTGATTAAAGTCCAACAATGTGTGACTTTGTACAAGTAAACTGTAGCAACAATTTATATTAATTAATAAGTTCTTTTAGACATCATCTAATTTTTGCATAAAACTAAAAAGGGCATCAAAATACTAACCGCTTTAAAACTTCAGTGCATTCATCAGTGGCTATAGAGCCAAGAGCTTCAGCTGCCTCATGTCTGACCATCTCATGCTCATTGGTGTCCTCTAATGTCTGCTTCAAGTACGGCACACTGCGCTCATCTTGCATCTGACCAAACACAAATGCCACTTCATGACGGAATAATGCACTACTTGCTTTAAGACCTGAAATCAAAACATTTATATTAGAACTAGCTGTCGACTTTGTCCGCATGGAACTCAAAACACTTAATTTGTAGCCTATGTGTTCTTCCAGACTATGTTCTACATCTCTGCCAAATTTCAGCAAGATCCATACAGACATTCTGGAGATATCTTCTAACAAATGTCCATCCATCCATCCAAACATTTGCATTTATAATATCAGCAAGAAGATAGATAATGTGCAGTAATAAAAAGATATATCCATACATTTTTGTGCACATGTTTTGGTGATGGAAATACATATAACACAGGTAAAAGACACAAAATATGTTGGATACTTAGAGATCTTTTATCAGGTATGTTTTAATGGATGAGACATTAAAACTTATGACACAATGACATACATTATCACATCAAATCAATTACCTTCACCCAAAGCACTGATACTCTCCGTTGTACCCAAATTTCTTAAACTGAACATCGCTCGGTATCTTTCAAATAAAGATTTACTTTCATCCATAAGAGTTTTCTTTAAGCAATCAACATCTGATTCAGTACTTGGTGGAGCTGGATCCACTGAGCTATACAGACTCTTTGATAAATTAACATCATTTCCACTTTCATTTGAAATCCAATTTAACCTTTGCAAAGCAATTTGACATGTTTCAGCAACCTCAATAGCTTGATCATGTTGATATTTCTCTAGAATCTCTCTTAGATTTGGATCACCAATAGCACCCAGTGCCTCACCTGGAACATAGATATGAATATTAAAAGATTCAAATTCTTAAGTATTTGGAATTCAACATTAAATTAATTGAATTGTGAATCATACACTATGGATATAATCTTTACATAGTATAGGGCTTGGCTTCTAGTAGACTAAAATTCTCTACGTTCTTATCAATGTTATCATGTACGTGAGGACTTAAAAATGATAAAAATACATACCGGCTTCATGGCGTACTATGGGGTCTTGTTCTGTATCTTCTAACACTTTTCTTAACACCGGAATTGCTCTTTTATCTTGCATTTGACCTAAACAATATGCTAGCTCGTGTTTTAGCAAAACTGATTCATCTTGGAAACACTCACTAATACATTCTATCGAGGTTTCGCCGCCCAAGTTTCGCAAACTGAAAAGTGCTCTAAAACGCTCCTTCATCGGTCTTGAAGGGTCGTTTAACACCTTTCCAATATTTTTGATAGCTGACTCGCTAACATTCACCATTTTTGTATTTTTACAAAATAAATTACCAACAAATAGGCGAATAAAACGTGTTCCGTTTTCAAAATGTTTTGTTCTGTGGTGACAGCTGACAGGTAAATATGTCACTTTGACAGATTTGGATAGTTTTAAAATTTGAAATACTTAGAGAAAACATAAAAAGGTGACATTGATAGTTTATTTATTTAATTATTTAAACTTTTTACACAAAATAACAAAAAACATAACGTAAGAAATACAAAGGAGCAAAGGGTCGTATTAAAAGTGAACTTAACTCTAACACAGTGCTTTTACAGCTGACCCTAAGATAGAGAACCTATCATCTTTTTAATTATTGAATTTATCTAATAATCCGTTTCCTTTTCTAACACATATTTCATTTATAAAAATTAAAATCATATTAAACATGTTAATCATAATACATTGTTTACTAAGATTTAAAAATAATTGATGTCATTTTTAATACTTAAATTATTCTCACGCTGCGTGCGCAAAAACAATACACGTTAGCCTATTTTTGTTGTTCTCATTATTATATATATTAGTGTTCATATGAGACAGGAAATTATTTCTGACGTACTCTGACGGACAGAGCTTATTGAGCAAGACTGCCGTACGGTCAGTTTATTTAAAAAAGTACCTATTCCACCAATACAATATATTATTTCCAGCTGCGATTGTTGTAACCTAATACCATTTTCCGTCTAGTACTATTTTCGAATTCAAAAATAGATTTTAACAAAGCTCTAAACAACAGTTGCGTTAATATTGTTGCTGAAAATTAAACATAAAATACAAATTATACACAAATTATAATTGTAAAGCAATGTACTAACACCAACACTTTATAAATTAATATTCAAATATATCGATGGATATCTAAATATGTTTAAATTACCGCTTAATTTATTTAAGTGCCGCCCTTAAGTCCTTAATTGATTATTAAAGGAGTTAAATAGCGGCGAGAAAACGATGTTTTTCCAGGCCCTCCACCGATATACAGACTGACATCTGACTAATACATGTTATAGCCATAGGAAAGGAGAGATGAAAATTTGAGCGTACGTTAATGTAGTTTTTAATCGATCATTGTTCAAAGTTGCAGATGTTTAAAGAATATAGAAATTGTCTATTTTATTTAACTTCATATTACAGGCGTCTTGTATTGTGATACCAAAGCATGTCAATTGGTACCGCATTATATTCTAGTTAGAATGAAAAATTGACTCGGGCTTTCGTCCGGTAAGCGTCTTTAACATAGTTTATTTTTAAGATAATCTTCAAAATTAATATGCTTACGGATATGTTACCACTGCTTATAGATCTGCATATAACATATTGACATCCCTTTCATGTTTATAAAAGAAATAGAGATAACAACGTTTTTGAACCAGATGTTTCGACAGTGTAAATGGTTAATAGAAAGTTCTTTGAGCCGGTTTAACAAGTTGTGCAGATGTCATCCCAACATTACTGTGTTCGTTCAAAAACTAAATAATTCAGAGCTTACTTATGGTTTTTGTATATTTAAAATTACATGCAATATCATTGTTATTATAGAGGGAAACGTAGTGGTCGAAAACGGATTGGAAGTTAACATTCTGAAAACATTCTCACATCTCAGTACGACACTTCTGTCGAATCGTGGCGCGCGTGCTCTACAGATTTTTTTTTTAATTTTTACCAGCCAGTGTCTTCTTTTTTTTTTTATTTCATGTGATTAAAAAGTATCGATATTTGATTTTTTTTCGTATTTGGAACAATTTTTTTTTTAATTACGTAGGAGCGTCGAATTTTTGGAATTTATAATTTCTAGGTTGGTATTTTTTTTTATTATTAATTAGACTTAATTAAAACGACTGTTTTTAATACCTTTTAAGCATTTATTTACCGTTTCAATATTTTCATTCATTATTTTTGTTTTATCATTTTACAATTTAACTTTTTGTCCTTATTATTATATAATCATTTTATATCATCTAACCGTATATTAAAATATTTATTTAAATACGAACTTCAATATATCCTCACTAGTTTCCAATCAGTGTCGACATTTTTTGTTTCCTACTAACATTACAAATGCTTTGTAATCGTCAAATTGGCACGAAACCAGGGGAATTTTATATGTAGCTATTTTTTGTTAATCGTCAGTTAAATAAATCAATTATCTTTGCAATAAAATACGAAACAAATTTATTTTTATCTTGACCTTTATATTTTTAGTTTTTTTTTTAAAAAAAACAAGTTCTAGCCATTGATATTGCAATATAAAGCCTCTCATTATGATTCCGTTTCGAAATTTAAAAGTTTTCATACAACAATTCAAATGGTTACAAGACATTAACTTGATTGTTCACCCTACATAGGAATTGAGATTATTATCATTTATGCGACGGCACTCAATAACTTTGGTACAGCGAAAAATACTCATCATCACCAAATATTCATCACCATCAGCCTGTTTTAGTTCATTGATGTGAGTAGGACTTAATATTTAAGAAACGAGTTACGATTTTAAAAAAAAATCTCTTTTGTTTCATTTGACCATGTATCCCAGATCACTTATAAATGGCCAGCTGTTTGCCTACATGTTTAAAAATATGAATAAAAAAGTTTTAACAGATTAAAAATAATTACTACAGTCACATTTTAAACTAAAATAAAGTCTTTATTTATGCTTCTAATTATTCTATAAATAGCTAGGGAATAATAAATAGTCAAAGAATCTTCGATAGTCCATGTAAATGAGCAATACAAATATAAAACTGCTTTTCATCTTAGTAAATAATATTTGATCTAATTGACATCCGGTTCATGATTGAACATATAAGTGCGTATGTTTGATTATGTACTTATTTAATATGTGTTTACAATTGTCTTGACATAATAAAAATTATTAAAAATTTTGTACGCCTCATTTAATATTCTAAACCACTAAACAAAACATAATGTCATGCCTATTATCTTTGACAAAACGGGGATAACGATATGTTTAAAACGGGATTATCGGTCTCAGAATCGCACGGTAAGAATGATTAAAAAGTGTAAAAAATTGTTTGAGACCATTATCTAATCACAAGCAAGTTTAAACAAAGAGATTCAAATATAATATAAGGTATAGAGCAGACATTACGAGCATTTTCTTTCAAATATTTTAATCATAAACGAACAACCGAACAACGAACAATGTTCACGAACGTCGAACTAAACAAGGGAAACTGTACTAATAATATAAATAGATGGATGTATGAAGGTATTTCTTATTTAGCATGCATATAGAACAACATAGAACATAAGAGCGTTGGTAGCTCAGGGGTCAAGCACTTGACTTGCAATCTGCAGATCGTGGGTTCAAATCCCACCATGTACCAATGTGTTTTTCGATTTCCGATTTACATATGTACATTTATTCGACGTTCTTAGGTGAAGGAAAACATCGTGATGCAACCTGCACATATCTGACACGAAATTTAAAGATATGAGTAAAGTCAATCAACCCGCATTTGGGCAGCGTGGTTGGCTATGACCTAATCCCGAGAGGCAGCTGCCTCGGCAGCTGGCGCAGACGGGGCCGCGGATAAGAGCGAAAGCGTGCCCGTGGTCCCGTCCCGATGCGTTGGAGGAACAGAGAGATTTAGTGGGTGGCTATGACCTAATCACCCTTAACTTAAGGTAGGCTCCGAGCCCCTTGGTGGGGACGTATAGCGAGCTGATGATGAGTATAGAACATAGTCTGATGAAATACATAGGCTTCTTATGAAGTTTTTTTTAATTGCGTGGACGGAGTCGCGGGTGACTGCTAGTGAACAATAACAAAAACATTCTTTACACTAAGTAATTGAACTCTAGCTTCAATAGGTTATCGTCGTAAAAACATGTCGATTAAACCTAACATGACGTTGCTAATAAAACTATCGTTATTTACCGTTAATTCGAGATAAGGAAGTCTAATAAATATAAACATAGCAAAAATGCACAGTACAACTTGACGAGGTAATATTTTATTTTCGTTATATAATTAAAAAACCTTTCTTACGATGGAGGAAAGCATCTTGACATATCTGAGAAGAGGTTCAAAGATATGTGTGAAGTCAACCAACCCGCACTGGGCTAGCGTGGTTGATGGCCTAGTCACACCTAACTTAGAGTACGTGGGGACGTATGGTGAGCTGATGATGATGATGTTCATTAAAACATCACTTTTTATTGATTTAAAATCAAAAAGTTAGTCTGACACTCATGGAAAGACGACCCGAATGACACCTAATCCGTCAAAATCGGTTTATGTTTTTAAGCTACAGACGATGGCTATAGAATTAATATAAACTCACATACTATGTGTGAAGCAAGCGCTCTACTGGCGCTTGTAGAGCGCTTGCTTCACACATAGTATGTGAGTTTGTATGTTAATTCTAAACTTGATATTCTGGACTTACGATACTTTACGTAGGAGCCATGGACATAACGCGCGAATAAGATTACTCTTTAAATCAGTTGGATAAAAATAACAAATATTCCTAATATTGTCTCCATCCATTTGTCCCACAGTCACAATGGGGGGTTGGTTGAGCTACCTATGGTGGGGAGGTGATCCCGAAGAAGTAAACCCTGTATCCGGTCTGACGAGGAGAGAGGTACACGCCGTGCAGAAGTCCTGGGCGCCCGTTAACAAAAACTCCGTGGCTACCGGCACTGAGCTGCTCAAAAGGTTGTTTTAAAATCTTTTCTCTCAATAACTTCGCTGATTATAACGTGCTAAGTAATATTTGTAAAGTTTATCTGTAGATAAATGTTTGTTTTACATTTTTCTAGCTACAATACACCCATATTTGTAAAGGCAATAGGCGGTAAAACGGTATTCGACGTATCGAGACACTTTTTTTCGATCTTTAATTCTCAACTTCTATTGGCCGATAATATAAGATCATTGTACCATTACATTTACAGTCTACTCTTTCAAAACTACTGCGTTCAATTCAATGAACAGATAAAAGTCATATTGTACGAGTATACAAACAACCGAATTCAATCTGGCTCCATTGTGAATGACATTTCTATGGCACATAAAAATAAATGTGATTATATTTTTAAACAAACTTTCTGGCTTTCATAGACTATTCTGCCATTTATATGATTTTATGTTTATGTTTTACTCTTTAGAAAATTATGTAATTTTATATATAATATCAAAAACTAATTAACTTGATTAATAAATTAATAGTCTCTACCAAAGTAACTTAATTAAATTATATATAAAGTAAGTTAACTATAGAACGATTAATTAATAACTTAATTGATATTAAAAAAAATCGTTTAATATTGTTTAGATTTTTCCGCGCTTACCCAGACGCCAAAGATTTCTTCAAAATGATAGCAAAGCTATCAGAGGAAGAATATTCGGATAATTTCCAATTCAAGGCTCACGTTATCAATTTGATGGCGGCATTAAACCAAGCGGTAACTAACCTCAACCAGCCCGAAGTTGTCGCAGTTATGATGAATAAAATCGGAGAGTCACATAAAAGGAGGAAAATTCAAGAACAACATTTTCATGTAAGATTGCTTTTTTTTTAATATGGATGATTAAACGAAATGGCAAAATGCATCTACACGCCTGTATTTTCTATGGTCTTTCTATTATATCGGTCAAATGTGCCAATCGTAAAAACAGCTGCGGACTCTACCACTATTTAACTCTATGCATATAAAGAATAACAATTTTATTGCTACTGCACTACAAACGATTTTATATCTCTATAATTTTGACAAGCCTATGCTTTATCGAGAAAACCTGAGGTGAATTATCTTACTTGTTATAAATGCGAATGTTTGGATGGATGGATAGATGTTTGTTTCAAGGTATCTCCGGAACAACTAAACGGATCTCACTGACATTTAGTATAGTTGTAAAACATAGTATAGAAGAACACGTATGCTACTTATTATTATTTTTTTTAATTCTGTTGATAATGATGGAGTCGCGGGCGACAGCTGGCTATTTACATTCTAACCTAATTTTAATAGTAAATTGGTTAGAAAGAAAAGTTTAAATAAAAGCAAGGTTATATAATCGACTACTATTATTCTATATCAATTTAATGGTTTCATTTTCTCTACAGGACTTAAAAGAAGTTATTGTGAAGATGTTCATTGAAGTACTGAAACTAGACGACTCTACACTCGGCGCTTGGGGCAAGACAGTTGGCTTTTGGTACAAACACATATTCGAAACATTGAACACAGATAGATAGGAACTTAATTTATTTAAAGACTAAAAAATAAACACTTTTATTAATTAGATTGGTACGAGTATATGTAAATAAAATGTTATATAATTTCATAATCATTTGTATTAGGTATTATTGTAATTATATTATATACTTATCTATATATGATTTAATATAAGAAATAATAAAAAATATTATGTATGTAAAACCAAAAAGTAGTTAATAAATTAAATATAATAAGTTTTAATATTATACAATTTATATTTAAAATACGACATTTAAATGTAAAACAAAATGACTATGATGTTTATTAAATTAGTCGAAAATAAATCAGAATATATTTTTATTAAAACAAATTTTATCTTTATTCACCTTTTGAAAAAATACAAGCAAATTTTATTTCTCACAAATCTGTGCTCGTGGAAAATATATTATACTACTTGTCTACGTCTCCAGTAGTTATTTATTCAATGTGAAACTTGACTGAGAGATGTATTGAAATTTAAAGGAAATGAATCGTACGAGAACGTGACCAGCATCAAATTTTCAAGACTCTGAATTATGCAAGCTTAACATCCCAGAGCGTCGGGACTCGATGTTACAATTTTTTTCACAATCCCTGAAAAAGTTTTGCCTTTGAAACCTTAAAAAAACTTGATTTGTAAGAACAAAGTTTGATTATTTAATTTTGCCTTCAGAATAAGGTAAAAAAAAGTTGGTATCAACCGAGATGAATATAATTCTTCGGTAAGCTTAGATTTTACAGCGAAACGAAGGAAAATGGTTTATTCCCGAAAAGTAATAATTATGAGATGGTTAATTATGCAGCACTGCTTAGGCTGCTCTTAATTACAGAGTTCGCATCAAACTAATAACAGCGATATATATTTGCTGCAAATAACTGAATTAATAATAATAAATACGTGAACTTTTTGTACAACATACAAGTACGCCCATGTGACGTTATTAGTATCATAAAAACAGAAGGGAGTGGGATCATAGTATTTATTATTCTATGATAGACATTCTTCCAGATTCATTCGCTAAACTCTTAACTAGAAACACGATATTGCGCTGACACGATCGAGCTTGGCCGTTGTTTTTCTCAATGAACTGTGGAAGCAAAAAGCATAACCCAGTGGACGTGCCAAGACCACTTCCCATGGGATGCTATCCTGTACCAGTACCGCTAGAGACACTGATGGAAAAATGTCAACCGGATCCAAACATATACAATCAAAGATGAAAAACATCAACAGATATGTGAATGCAAAATAATATAAGCTTATCGGATGTCAATAGGTCGTGTGACGTGAACTCTACGATATAAAATCTATGTCATGTGATCAAAGTGTTTGTTTGTTCAATTTGTTTGGGTCAATTGCAAACAATACTTCAATGATAGATTTTTATTCGATCATAAAATCGTTTGATGTGTTCTCTTATTTCTGTTATAAAATATATTTTTACTTACTATTGTCAAATTGCTTTTCAACTATCAGATCAAGTTTAATCAACAAAAATTATATATTAATTGTCACTAAAGATTAATTTTGTACCAACAAAATTTTTTTGAACTCTTTAATCATAAAAAGCCTGGATGACCGAGCTTTGCTCGGTGTTTTTTTTTAATTGTGTTTTTTTAGAAATTATATTTAAGTACGAATAACTAATAAAATGATGAAATATGAATAATATTTTTCGATCTTACCGATAGAAAAAGTTAAGTTTATATTTAAGTTGATTATCGATAAAACACGAATAAAATGACATTTTCTAAAAATGATTCCTAGCTAGATCGATTCATCGCCCCCGAAACCCCCTATATACTAAATTTTATGAAAATCGTTGGAGCCGATTCCGAGATTCCAATTATATAAATATACAAGAATTGCTCATTTAAAGATATAAGATGAAAATTCTCCATTAGTTTGCCATGGTATAAAAATAGTTAATTTTATATCTTCTATTAGTATTCCCTTGGGACGCAGTCTTTATAATCCAAGTGTATGGGGTCGGCTGAACTGCACGCATCTCGCATACTAATTACAAGTCAGTGTTTCTCATACAAAATACATAGCGAGATTATAAAATATGTTGCTTGCGAAAAAGGATTTCGGAAGCATTTCTTGATCATATTAATAGTAGCACGTGCGACTTAATGTATAATAAATACTTCCTGATTGTGTAACTTCTTTTTAAAATGAGATTTTTAAATAATACGATCTTACTAATATTATAAATGCGAATGTTTAGATGAACGGATGTTTGTTTGAAAGTATCTCCAGAACAGCTGTACGGATCTTTATGAAATTTGACATATATAGAACATAGTCTGGAAGACCACATAGACTACTAATTAAGTTTTTAATTGTGCGGACGAAGTCACAGGCGACTTATTGCATGATTAATTCAATTGAGTACGAACCAAAGGGATTAACTACTAAAATATAATTCAAGCGCTATTTTAAAATGGTGTAAAACTAACAATAAAAACTCGAAGCTTCACCTCTGTCCCTCTACCTTCATCTATCGAGTATTCTTAAGCGGTTAATGAGCTGTAAATCAAACGAGACATTCCACCGAGATGAAGAATTGATATCGCATCAATATTCTATTAAAGCATTTAATATATAATAAAACAAAGAGATTATAATACTGACAATGGGTCGTTAAGGATCCTTATCATCGATTAACCAATTACAAGGCAGGTACAAGCCACTACGGAACTCCGCCCGCTATTTATATTTATGACATGTACATTCTTTTACGACTCCGTTTAGGGTTGTCACAAAATTTCACAAAGACAAAAAAGGTATATGTTTCGAAATAAAAATATAGTCATCTTTGTTGTGATCCCGTGATGTAGACAGTGTCATTTTTTGTTGTGACTGAGTAGTCACTGTTTGCCTTGAAGAAGCATTTTCAGCGTCACCGGGCTTGAGGTGGCTGATCGCAGATGACGCTTAGCCTGAACCTCGTGTAAGAGTAACAAGACTGGAGGGCTCCCTCAGGAGCCTCGGCTCGGGCTGTTACTTCGTTATAGTTACCGGATCGGGCAGTGTCTACGTGTTCAGATATACGAACTATCTTTCTGTTAATAAAAGTATTTAACCTCTTCTATTGAGAATAGGATCTAGGAGTATGAAGATAAAAGAGGTTTTATCCTCCAGATTTTAACAACAAAAACAAAGATTTTTTATGGTACAGCACGTTTCATTATTTTAATTTGTTACAGCCCTATTAAGTACTTCTTTATTTAATTAACACACCTGCAGTTTTACGATCTTTAAACTACGCATCCGATACAAATGCAATAAACTTACAACTCACGCTACATCCAAATGTAGAGGAATTACGTGACTATTTGTAGACGTTGTTTGAATAAGAATAGAACAGATTTATCTAATTAATCAATACATCTTAATAAGCACGCGTTTCCAGATCAATTAAAATTAATATAATCTGTTGGAGAAAATAATCAATTTAATCTATTGCTTATAATAATTAATGCTAATAATATGTTTTATATCGGTTTTTCTGCAGTGAAAACTTATTCCAAATATTACTTAAATTTACCAGATAACTTACATTATATTTATAGTATTTCTGGATTATATAAATCACCATAAGACTTGGGAAATTTCAACAGGGACTTGACTTTAATCAAAGGGATAATTGTATTGGGTTGTCCACTCTACAAATATTACGATAAAGCTCATGTCTAATTTAATTTTTAAGTCTGCACATCCTATTTTAATTATTATAATTAGTTGTGTCACAGCGGTGTTTAGCGCTATGTGAATTACGTAAACAGTTTGTAAGTAGGTCGTTGTGCAAATGTCAATGCAAAGGGCACGGATTGTTTCGGCTGTACTGAATACAATTCTAAATTATGTCGTGCCCTTTTTTATGCGAAAAGTAGCGAAAGGTAATAAACATTTATTCAAGTGCTCTCGTAAAGTTTATATGTAAAAGCTAATGTGACATAAGGCATAGTAAAATGGATTTAAATATGACGTATACATTCCCTTCGCAGTTTTCTAGATGTTATTAGACAAAGGAAGTACGGACATGACTTAATACTTACATAATTTAGCATTTCTAAAGATAGATGTCGCTGACTCTATTACTTATTCCTTATATCCTGTTTTATTCTATATTAGAAGGAATTTTCCATTAGTAAGGGACTATCGTGAGTCACTACTCTGTATCGAGACAAAACACTCGCGGCAAATTTACATTCACATACTTAGTTAGCTTTCAACAGGGGGCCTAGCACGAATATATGTGACAGTCGTTTTCGTATCGTCATCATCAATTATGTCAAAATTAGTATGATTTTTGCACTATACTTCCGATAGAGGCACGGCACAAATTTGAATACAAATTTTGTCGTTGACGATACGATGGGTATTGTCACAAATATTCGTGCTAGGCCCACTCATCAGTGGAAAATACATTGGTATATACAGGTAAAATATCCCTTAATGCAACTATTCGAAATTATTTAACTAACTAATATTGTTTAAATAGTGTTTTTTGTTTAACTCCTATCAGTTGTTTTATGTTTAATCGCTTCTAGAGATAGTTTTTATTGTTTTGAAAGTCATTCTTCCGTTGACCACAAAATAGCGGATGTTAGGAAAAATCCGTTTTACTTTCGAGCCAATTTACGTCATCACCACTGTTTGTGGTTTTACTACTATTTTTGACGTAACAAATTAATTAAACATCGACGTGGTATGTTTTAGGTCCTTTTGTTATCGACTTGTTTCCTACAGTATATATAATATGTAAGCCTACTTTACGCTTAAGAAAGTTCATTAATGCATCATTTTACAGTCGTATCAAAATAAATCCTGCAACTCAGTTTTAGGACACTGATCATAGTAATAGTTGTAAACCGCAAATGAATAGAGTTGCCAACTTAAAAATATTTAATTCAAATTTCTCTACTCTAACGTAAGTGGCTTAAATAAATATTTTAACTAAATTCAACCCTTAATGTGATACGAAATTACGTACTTAGGAAATTTTTTTTTCAACTATTTATTCGTGTTAAACGTGACCTTAC